CACATAGTAAGTGATCTTATTAAGAGATGGCAGCTGACCAATAATCCTTCGCGTACCACCTCAAGGCATCATGTCTGCCAGAACAAGACCCTCACCATGAATGAAGGAAAGGGTAGATTTACAGGCTTACTTTCTTTGTTAGACACAACATTAATGCAAACTAAGAGACAGTAATGCCAGGAAAAGTACAGGAGATGTTATTACAAGAATTTGTAATATAAATGTGAAGAAAGAAAGTCGACGAACAGATACCTTGCTACCGGCACGATTCGAACCTGTGACCTTCCTCGTTTAAACGAGCCCTGCAACACTTCTTGAGCATGGTCAGAAAACGCTGCCGATCGGTAGTAGAGGCTCCCGAGAACATGTGAGCCAAATATTATAGCACACCACCACAACCTGGAATTCACAATTAATTATCAAAGTTAGCTATCAATTGCTTTCTCTTCTCTCACCAAATGATGAAAGATGCTCAAAAATCACTCGCAGAAGACCTTATATCAGCCATAAGTTTATTTGAAAATGGCGCGCTCAGTGGTTACAGGGATTGCTGCGGGAGGCTGTGACTTGTCCACACGTGCACGCGTGATCACACTGAAAAAGCCGTGTATTTGATGTAAAAAAAGAGAAAGTGCTCAAGGTCACCAGGTGCGTCCTCCCTCCCTGCTTAGCTTCCAGCACGTTTGCTGGGATAAGAGAAGAGAGAATGCGATGGCAGAGTGCGGCACATCTTTGCAAGTCCGCTTATACTGGACAGATTCCTAAAATTTCCGCGACTTCGGATTCGTGCGCCAACAAGTTCTTTTATTTCAATGAATCCATTACATAGTCACTTGAAAAAGTGTTTCAGCGACCCTTTAAATGCACATACATACCCTAAAATGTGGACGGGAGGATAGCTGACACTGTTTCTCAGTGGTAGAGCATCGAACACGTTATTCAAATGCCGCAGGTTCGGATCCTGCCGGTGGCACGTTATCTTTTCGTCCACTTTTAATTCTTCACATTTACATTTCAATTGCTTCTAATAGCATTCCCTATACTTTCCCTGGCATTATTGTCGGTTAGTTTTCATTAATTATAACAATGTTGCATCTTACAGGAAATTAGGTTTGTTATACAAGAAAATTTGCTACAAAGATTTATTCCTAACACTATATCTATTGCAAGACTATTTTTTCAGTTACTTCGTTATAACTGATATTTTGTTATATCGGGTGCATTATATACAGGAATGAGTGTCGCGTTTATTTGCCAAAGCAGTTTTAAGCAAAGGCGAGGCTCTGCGGTAGAGCACTTGCTTGCCACATAGAGAACTTGAGTTTGAATCCTACTCGATCCAAAGCTTCTCATTTATTTATTTTATTTACCTCTTCCTTAATTTTTTTGGTTTCAAACAATGCCTACATTCGCAATGCCAACAGACTGTTGCGCCACCAAGCGTAATTCAGGGGTGTCCTCTTGAGGATGGTCAGCAGGCAGATTCTGCCTTGTTGGCCTGTGCTAGCGACAGTGTTATAAATACGTTAGCAAGAAATGAACACTAACCAATTTGCATGTTTCCTGAATCAGTTAATAAACCGGACTGTCTGTGAGACGGTAAACCCCATTCATTGTTGGAAGACAAGAAGTTTTCAGGAAGGGAAAATGTGGTAACTCGCAGTTTCGATTATCGCCCGCAAAGTACACATATCAGTTTCGCAAGATTTTCTGCAGCCACGTAGGTTATTTAAATGTTATCGTCGGACTTTTGTAGTTGAAACACACCTTTAGTTACACGTGTATAGCATTCTTCAGGGCTTTTGTCGTGCATTAAACCCATAGCATTCATTGTAGGCGGAAAGTAGCGCAGGCTCGTGATTTGCTATCGAAAACATGGTCAACGCTGTGCCGCTTGTTTTTGTGCATTTGTTGATAGATGGCAGCACAATGCAAGCAATTCGCTAGTCAACAGGTTTCAGAGCGAAATGTTCTCCGCGCCCAGATAAACGTGGTGAGCGATGTGGTGTTGGTGTGGTCGAAGTCGTTCGGGGGAGGGAATTCCTCAGATTGCTTCCAGCAGTGATGTCGAAAAAAAACCATCGTGACGACGATTTTTTTACTGGGCATAGAAGGTTGTCAATGCACCGAGAGTGACAGCAGCGATGAACGATCAGCTGCTAACTCAGGAGATGTGAGTTACACTTCACACCCCCTCGTGCATTATTGTTTTTTCACACTCGAAAGTCACTTTGATAGTATTTAACGTACGATATCCTTCAGCAAGATCAAATGCAATACTCGGGCCATTAACGCAATACAGTTAAAACTCGACTAAATGAAACTGAGGAACCATGAATTATTTACTTAAACTGAAAACTTCGTTAAATCGGGAAACAAAATGGCCTATAGGGGACTGCAGGGAGAATCCGAATTCGTTCGCTCAATGAGGGTATTCGTGAAATCGGCTTTCATTAAATCGAGTTCTACTTTTATTAGTATTAGCAGAGTCCTTCAATGCTTTTCTGGTCACGAAACTCCGCCCGAAGGTTGATATAGGGACAAAATCTGTCGCTAGAGGCACCACCCGTCGTATGGGGGCCACAAGCCGCCGCCACTGCTGGGCTTGTATGCGCACTGCAGCCGACGTTTCGACGCGATTATGTGCGTGCTGTTCTTCCTGTTACCTTTTTTTTAAACGTCTCTGAACGCATCAATGCCACCAGATAAATAAGTTGAAACGGGATCCAGTGTCGACGACGAATGAGAGCTGTTTACTTTGGAACGCACGCGTAGTTTACTTGGAAGTGCGGGCCCACCTTATAAACAGCAGCGCATTAAAAGTGTTCTCACACCGCGCGATAACGCATTGTGTCAATAATTGTCTCATAGCCCAATTATATGCATACTTACGATGCCTCGAAGCGGTACTTGCGAGCTATAGCTCGCAAGTGTTGAAAGACGATGCTTATGCTCCATGCTCTTGATGCGAGCAGCTACTGCTTGATCTGCTCGACATGTTTGTATTTGCGCCCGGCCAAAAGGCGATTATGTTTATGCGGTAGGTGAGCTTTATATTCTGGTAGGGCCGCTAATAGGGGGAGGAAGGTGAACGAAATGAAACACGACCGGGTAGTACAGGAGCAATCACATTGGTTTATATCCGGCTCGCCTCTCGCGCGCTACTACCCAAGTATTCAAATGAACTGAATGGTTGAGCCAGAAGTTTTATTCCAGACCTTTCAATTGAGTTTATACCCAAATGCGCAGTTGTTTTGGACACACGTTTGTCCGATCGCTTTCTTGACGCGGGGACTTTCGATGCCGAGGGCTTTCGCGACCGCTCTAAACGTGCCCAACATTTGATTGATCACTTCTTTCCACGCAGTTTACACGGGACATCCGCCGCTTGACGTTTCCTTGTGTTTACTGTTTAGGGCATTATTATTTACCGGCCGACAACCCATGATTTCTCCGGGAACGGAAGTACAGCAGCCTAATCTGGAAGTTCCTTTTGATGCCAGTGCAAGCCGCTTGGCCGCCTCTGCCACTACCGAGGTACCTCATCACACATTTGTTTTTATTTGTTGGGTGGGAGTGGGGGAAGGGCGGTTATGATTTAAGGCATGCAATAAATTTTAAATTTGGTGCTAATGATACGCCGCCTAGTAGTCAGGTGTGTACTTATGAATGGGAGATTAACATATGGTGCATGTAATGGGGGAAAGTTGGAAAGCATTTATTTACACAAAATACACTGAGAACAACACTTTGGAGAAGAAAAGCACTAGAAACTATTGCAGCTGTTCTGAGCAATGTTACACAATCTGTGACTCTACTGTACAATGTGTATTTCGTTTCATTAACAGCTGCACTCTGCCTTAGCTCACTGCCTAAAATAAACTGTATTTGAATATACACTATTTACACTATATGCAGATAAATATGAATAGTACGAAAATATTACAGTGTAATGTATACAAGATATACAACACTATATACAAATGGGAAGGCGTGCTCACATACACAGCCATTATGCTTAACACTGTGGCTTCCACCCACCACTTGCAGGGCATGAACTGTGCACAGTTGCCCGCGAGGTTTTGTTTTTTTCTCGAGTGAAGAAATGTAATCTACATCTCAAAAAAAAAAGTGTACAACCTCAGCTGTTGTCCCTAAAAAGTGCAGCAGACAACCTACACTTGCTGACGCTGTGCGGCTGTCGGGCAAAATGCCCTCAACAATCCTCGCGTACACGTCACCGCATGCAATGTTTTGCACCGTGTACGTCTCTACATGTTCTTCAACAATTTTCAGGAGAGCAAGAAGACGGCTGCTAGGTACTTTCAAATAGCCCCTCGATTTTGTTTGTGGCTTTGTCAGGTACGCCGGGAGCCCGTCAAAAATTCTTGGAACGGCGTTCGTGCGAAGCCTCGGTCTCTCTCGCTGAAGCGACACGACCACCCCGTTCACGATGTGCTCGTCCGTTCTCACAACGTCGCTAGCATCAAAATGCTTTTCGCACACCAGAACGTTCTTACTTTCGAAGCTGAAACCGCCAGCTTCCAACCGCGGTATAGCTCGCTTCCATTTCTCTCGGAGTTCGGCGCTACTTGGGAAACAGAAGAGCGACGCCTTTTCTTTGTTGCTTCGGTATCCGGAGCTGCAACCCGTCACACAGCACGTCTTAGGCATTGTTCATTCGAATTTTCATGCCGTCCACCTTGAGCACGGTGCACTGGCACATGAAATTCGCGTTTCGCTGATGCAGAAACCGCGAGCTGCCACTACACAACGCCTTCGGGATGCCGCCGCGGCCAGTGCGTTCCGCCGGGCGCAGCGGGGCGATGGCCCCCCTAGGACGGCTTGCGCCGCGTAGCGGCCGCTCTTGGCACCATATCAAGCTCTCCCATAGAGTGACGGAGAAGTTTCGTGACCAGAACGGTATTAAGGGACTGTGGTATTAGTTAGTGCCAACGACTGGTTCACACAATTATAAAGATGATGAGAAAAAAGCTCACCCTGGTGAGGTGTGGAAAAGCTAGTCCCCACAGACCCTGTCGTCGTGCATTGGGTGGAAACATGTCCACCGAGGAAGCTATCGCAATAAGGGGCACCCTAAGCGACATTGACGTCATGTCTCGTAGGATGTCGCTACCGGCCGTTCCATTGTAACCGCCCGTGACGAACCTCTTTGACACATCCTCCGTACCTGCAACGTAAGTTGCTGACCTGAAATGAGTAAGATCCACGTGAAAAAAAATTTTTAAAAACAAATAAAACTTTTCACACTTTCTAGTCATAGGCAATTTTTTATGGGGTTTACAAAACCTTTTTAGTGATGTCACAAAATACTGTCAACATGTACCCGAGCCACCTACAACAGCAGAATAGCCATAATTTTTTTCGGGGGGGGGGGGAGGGGGGTAAACTTACCAATAGTTAATTAACAATATGTGCGACAGTAGGACACATACGTCCCACTGGAGAAAGTTTTCTCCCACATCACCCATCACACTTAGTGCAGCGCTACGTCACTCACATTTTAGTTAAGTTTTTGTTGTCTCCAAACAAATTTTTTACTGTGCTTTCGAAGAGTGAAAGTAATGTTACAATGGCATTCAATTTTGGTCGGCGTTTTACGATAGATACAAACTTTTCCTCCTCTTCAGATAGATAGAACCTACGAATCAAAATGTTGAACGATTTCCTATCTTTCTGGTTTTCCTGAGAGGTGATTTTAGCTTTCAGTCATCTCATGTTTTCTTATAAACTTGCACACCAACTTTACTGATAAATGCATCCAAGCAAACCCCTCCGAAATTGCCCCCTCATACCCCAGTGAAATTGTGAATATTAGTGCAAGGAAATATCTTTTTTCATATACATTATGCCTTTTTAAAAGTAGGCACATATTCAGGGACAACAGCTATACTAGACAGTTTCGACAGCAAAAGTAAGGACAGTCAAATAAGCTAACAAAGAATAGTTGGTGCTTGCGATGAAGTAGGCTTTGGAGGAACAGAAAAGAGCGCAATGAAGGCTTGCAAGAGGTGGCGTTCTTCAGCTAAAACGAGGTCCGCACAACTTTTCTCTTCACAGCTCAAGAACTGATACTCTGCAGCACTTGCTTTGCCCGTTCCATCCTAAATATCCATTAAAGCAATCGTGACATGGTGCTTTTATGCGGCAGTAAGATGGTGTTTTCCCACTTTGTCAAAACACTCTCATGAAGAAGTCCCATTTTTTTTAGTATACTAAACTACTGGCCTGATGTTGATAAATTTTATTCTATACTATTTCCTTGTAGCTTATATCAATATACCAAAGTTGTTTTTAATATCACTGAATCAAAAATATAAGTAAACATACAGTGTTAATATATGTTTGCCATCTATTAGTATGTGTGCCTGTGTCATGGTAAACTGAAAAATTCTAGGAGGGAAGTGAATGAACTCCCTCTTCCCCCCTCCGTCCACATTGGAGCCCTGCAGATATGTGAGCTAATCCTTGCAGTGCAGTATGATGCATAGAATTTACAATGAAATTTCAAAGTGAGCAGCTGACGATTACTCACTTCTCTTGACACATCGTGCCATATAGTGAAAATTAGCTGTATCATATACCCAAATGCACATAGATTACTGGCTGATTTGAGCATTGCGAGCTCCCTGGCTGCAACAGGTGCTGTTCTTCTCTACAGCATAGTGTTATGCTATAGAATTACACGAGCCCGTCACAATGAAAGTGAGCCGCACGTTCACAGAAAAGAAGAAAGTGCTCAAAATCATGACGTGTGCTGACGTACACGCATAGCTTCTACCTCGCTAGGAAAATAACTAGGGAGAAATCGCTTTACAGTCTACCACAAGTTCCTGTAACACAACTTGTACGTGGCAGATTTTGAAAGTTTTTGCGACAGTCAATTCGAAAGGCAATCAACTGCGCCAATAAGTTCATTCAATGATTACTTGAGTGCTGCCGGCACATTTAATACTTAGTTCTTGTTTACTACAATTTTTGCATGCTCAAATAAGGTACTTGTAGTCTGGTGCTTCAGTTCCAAAAGGTTTCTCAGAACCCACCTATTTGTAAAGAAGTATGTAGTCAGGCTGTTGTCGTCTGACGCTGCAACTGCGATGTCGCTGCTCCCTGTATCTACGTATAAGTTTATCTGAAAAACGTAGGTGGTTGACAGAGATCAAGTCCACATCACATACACAGTGAAAATTGAAACAAGTTGTCTACAGAGGCTCCATACGCCCTAAGCTTAAAGGATGCTCAACTTTGACAAACCATAATTTTTGTCAGCAACTACATTACAGGCATGTAACTTAAATGCACAGATCTGCGAAAGCATACGTCAAAATGCCAAACACACTAGTTCATTTTTTCTTAACAGCATAAGAAATCGGCATAAGTTTTGTCAATGCACACATAAGTATAAAACTTGAAATATGATAAATCAAGCTCTCCGAGTCACACACTGTCGACTTTGACAATCCAGCGAAATTTTCACGAGCAGCCGTTTGAGTCATAATGTCTGATCAATGAGCACATGCTACTTAATGAAGCCGTCTAATAATGAAAAACACCAGATGACGCTTAAAAAAAGGGGGGGTTACACACGTGTTGTGGAGGTGTTCCGAGGTACACTTTCGCAATGAAGCCCTCAGCGGCTGCGCCTTCGATGGCTTGGCCTTCGAGGCTCGTGAACTTCGTCGGTCGCACGGCAGGCCGTACGGGAAAGGCGATGATCCCATCGCTGTCAGAAGCGCTTCCCAGCGTTTCACTGACTAAAAACAGTACAGTGAGCGCTACCAGTTGAAAATACAGAAGCATTTGACCCGCGATCCAACATTGGGCACGGCGACCAAGTGGGCTTCGATTCTGCGAGAGGGTTAAAACCGCAGAAGGTGAACACCGAAAGAGCACTGGCTGGGAAGACCACGGAACGGTAAGCTAAACTGCTGAAAGAGCAGCGCGCACAGCTGGCAGTACTCACTTCAGCTACGATGCGCTGCGACTTGTCAAGGCGCAGCAACTCCGCTCGGTGTCAGGCGCTGTGTGTAGTAAACTGTATACACAACTTCCTGCACCTGCCGACGAACAAAAGACGATTGCCTACCGAAGCAATCGCGACGCAACATCCATTCAACGTCACAGAACACGCTCCGTGCTTGCGCGCTTGTTGACGCGGATTGCCGGCGGAGACGACAATATCCGGTCCCGAGATGTCCCTAGATATGTCCTAGGGAAGATACTCTAGGCATTCGCAAATTGTGCATGCCGCGCGACGAGTGTCCTTGTGTGACGAGAGCTATTTAGTTTGATCAATGTCACTACAGTGGACTGTGCAATGAAACTCAATCTGGAAGGCCATTGTAACGCCTCGTACCATTGAACATTTGCAGGTGTTAAATGCTAGACCATTGTGGCGAATGCCTGTTAGGCATTTTGCGCTTGTATTCTTCGAGCCCTCCCGGAGAAACACTATGTGAAAGCTAAAGCGCTACAGAACAGGGCTTTACGTCGAAAGAAATTGCGAACACCGGCGTCACACAGTCACGGTAATTTCTTTTGTGTGAAGGCCGCTTCTCATGACACAAAAAGTAGCGATTTTCAGCCTGATTGTAGGAAACTTCCTGCCTACTGTAGACTGTACCGTGTGACACCGGCTGTGCGAGCTCCTTGTTCGGGTTCATCCGATTTGCAAAGTGAAACGTCCGCAGCAGGTTTCTGTTTGGCTGATGGTTAGGCTGATTTGGCGTTCTTTCGTACGTGCAGCTAACAGGCGATGTATTATCTAAATTTCTTTTTAATTACAAGTATAGGCTGGACAATTTCGCGAATAGTTCTTCAAAGCAAGCAAACTGCAGTTTAGCTGGTCGCGACATCTAGTAATGAAAAGAAGAGTAGCTGCTTTATCTCGTTTTTAACCTAATGTGTAAAAATCAAAATTTTAATAATTTTTAATTCAAAAATAGATGTCAAGACAATTAGCAAGTGATAATATTTTTGCCGCGAATCGCGTAAAATTTTGATTGTGCTGCCACAATGCAGCTTTCTTTTAGACATCCGGTGTGGTGTTTCCGGCGCTTACGCTGACGCTCTCTTTCCGTGCGTGCGACACCGTGAATTTGAACGGAGCAACCGCGACTTCGCCAAGTTGCTGCGCCCGTACTTTTCGTGGCATGAGTCTGCGTAGCTCCGAGAAGTCGTGACACGTTTGGTTCGTCGTTGAACGAAGCTAAAATGAGGAAAGTGCTGTTCTCGGCAGCTTTTGCCCTTCTCTTCGTGGCGTCAACGGCGAAGAAATCAAAAGAAGGTGCGAAACCAGACTGGGCCAAGAAAGACGTACGCGACTTCAATGACGCCGACTTGGAGAGACTTTACGAACAGTGGGAGGCAAGTGGCTGCAACGTGATTTTGAAGTGTGCATCACACTAGGGCTCTGGCCTGTCGATTCACGGTCTCGAAAGATCCCAAACAGGGGGTGTGCACTGCAACCGACTTGTCGACAAGCGCACTTGTCTTTCAAGCCCGCTTGTCCAAACGTCGGCTTTACACACCGCCTGTTTATAATTCTTGCGTCACAAGCTTTCATCTTCCCCTGACTTTCGCCTTTTTTTGCTGTAGATTTCAGTGTCTCACCGTCACGCAGTGGTCAATGCAGGTGTAAATCAATGTTAATAATGCTCAAAACCAGTGCGATATAAAGTAACAAAAGTCTAAAGCAATATAAGCTACATAAGTAAGCACGAGTCAATGGCAATAATTGACGTAAATTCGCAAAAGAACTTAAAAATCATCTGGCTGATACCTGCGCCGCCCAACAGAAGGCGCCACCGCCTTGGCAAGCGCGCTTTTGCCGAGGCGGTGGCAATCGCCAAGGAAATCGCTGGGTTCCCCGCGTTTCGCACTTTCTCATGTTTCACTAAAGTTGAGCTGCATTAAACACCAGAGTTGGAAATACACTGAGACCTGCACCGACATTAATGCAGGACTTTTGAGAATGTAATCAGGTGACTCTGTCAAACTTTTATGCTTCCTTCTGTAGGAAGACGAGGAGCCGCTGGAGCCGGATGAACTGCCGGAGCACATGCGGCCGGCTCCGAAGATTGATATGAGCAAGATGGACACCTCTAATCCAGAGAACATATTGAAGGCATCGAAGAAAGGCAGGATGCTTATGACATTTATCACCCTTCTAGGTGAGTCTTTGGCGGCTACTGCAGCGTAGCCTGCATACTATAATTGGAATGCTCGTTCACATGTACTGTTGGAAGCACACTTGTCTGGAGCACTCAGTCGGCCAGATCAGTTGCCGTTTTTGTATAAACATGCAGAGATCGGCACTTTAGTGATACTAGACCGCATGCTAGGTACTTTGGCTGTAATTCAAGCATAAAAAGAAGCTTGTGGCTAATGTGATTAAGCAGCTGCGCATGACACCAGCGTGCACTGCAATGTGCTAGACTGCTCTAAACATGTGTGATTCTGAGTGTACGCATGTATGTGAAAAGATTAGCGTTTCAAATGTCTGCATAAAAGCAGGGTGAGGTAAGTGCACATTCAAGCTGCTTAAAAGCCAAATACCATGTTAATGGTCAGCATCTTTTTTTTTTTGCAAGAAATGGAGTAAAACTTAACACCTTCCCTCAATGCATGATTGCTTGAAGAAATAGTGACTATGCGAATTTTGTCTCAAAATAGTCATTTCACAGCTATCACAGGCAATAAGTTCAGGAGAGGCTTTAAATGATGAAAAGTTATTGAATGGGGAATGTCACTAGAGCCAACATTTGGACAAGTCCTCTACTCTTTGTTGGAATAGCTCTAACAAATAGGCATTTACTTTTGCAACTGTTGGCTTTAATTACATTGCCTGTTCAACAATTTCTCATTACACTGTTATACAGAATTATGGACACCACGAAAGAATGTCAAGTGTTTTGAGAGTTTCCTGTTTTCGTTACTGCCTCGCATGAAAGTAAATTTGGCAAGCAGGGCCATTGTCCTAAAAGTAATGCCGAAAGTGAAGCTGCTAGTCCTTGATCGTGCTGACACTAGAGACAGATAAAGCAACTGCTAGAGCACGCTGCCTAATACCAGTGTTACACGGTGCATTACTGATGATGAATTGGTATCAAATACAACACCAGTTGGCTCCCTTATGCAACTTGTTAAAAGGAGCCAAATATGAGTAAAAATTCTTTCTAAACCAGGCCCATTTATTTTATTTGTCATACTGTTAACCCTCTCTTGAGGGTTAACAGCATTTGTCATCCAAATTAACCATGTGACACCCCTGTTGACACGATACTGCACCCATGTTTTATCCACTAAGCATTGCGTTACACTGCATTTATTTTATCTCCCGACATTTACAAAATAACAGCTTTGAAATTGGATGTGACCAAATGAAAGTTTTTCAACCGACGAATTCAGGATATCTACATCCGAGGGATTGGCATGCTCGACATTTGACTCTGCCAGCAATGTTGTTTGCTGCTTTTAATCAAAACACTGCTTATGCATTGTGATTCTTTTGCCACAAGCTGTCATAACACATTTCATGTCATTAACTTACAATAACTTCATTAGCCATTAACCGAACAAATGAAAAACTAGTCATTTGAGCAGATAACACAGCTAGGCTGAGAACGTGGGAAAATTGGGAGTTCGCCATAGAGAAATGAATGGTTTTGGTCTGACACAGAAGTGCAGAGTATGGTGTTTTGATGAAAGCAGCTATTTCTATTGGCTTACGTTTGTGCTTAGATCAGAGTTGCCGGTTCCGGTTATTATAAGCGAAATTGAATGTATGGTCACTTGTTGCATTATTTGGGACTTGCCTGGGCTTTTTTGGAAAATGTTGCATCACCCAGCACGCAATTTTTGATTAGAAACACTGCGAAACTTTGGTTCCCTATACCAGTCAGCATTTGTAGAATATTTGAACCTTAGTGCACAGACACGAGAACACACAAGAAAGGAACTCACCGGACAAGCGGAGATGAACAACTGATTTTTATTCATTAACAAACCACAAAATATACTCTTTTGTCACACCTCAAGAACACTGCGCATGATCAAATCGACATTGGACAATCATTGACAAAAAGCGATAACACCTTTACCTTAGACGGTGTAATCTCACATATTGTTCAACGATTCAATTCCTTTATCATTCAGCTAAACCGAAGGGTGACTGGCGCACATGTCTTTATGAGGCATGATGTCTTTATGGTGCGAGATCACACAGTCTACGGTAAAGGTTTTATCTGTTTATATGGATGATGTGTGAAGACGTCAGTGATGGTGATTGTGTGTAAGGCTAGGAAAAATTCTTCCCTTTATTCATGCACCTATTCTCATTATACAAAATAAATGTTTGTACACCTTCCAGATGTATTTGTAGTATTTTTTTCCGTAATGCAACGCAATTTTCAATAATTGGAACATTTGTTTACCTTTTGCTTATTTTGAGCTTCGAAGAAGCACTGCTGCCTTTTTTGGGCTTGTTTTGGGGTGACTGTCAACTTGTTTGCTCGGCGGCACCTAGCAATTCTGACTTGGATCTATTTATCCATACCTCGACAGGCTATTATTGATTCACCGCTTCAGTGTTTATTGATCAGAGGTGTGATGGAGGGGAGGAGTGCCATGACGTTTTCCCGCAAACTCTTTCATGAGACATTCTTGATTTAAATATCTCATGTGAGTCGCATATTTCATAAAAATTTTCTTACTTGATTGCAAGTACTGATAGAACTTATTTGCGGGTAAAAGATCAAAAGGCGTGTTGCATATACAGCACTGATTTTGTCAAATACTGGCATTAAAGAGCATTTACACCATGATCAGAAAGACTAATTTTGTGCCAGTGGACTCGCAAATCTACTCACCCAGGCTCAGGTCAAGCTGTGAGTTTGTCTGAGTGAATCTGTTGGAACAAGTTGGTAAGTTTGAGTCTGAGTCAGTACGGTTGAGAAAAAGTTGGGTGAGTCATAGTCCGAGTGAGTGCTGTTGAGTAAAATTTCGGTGAATCTGTTTGAGTGAGCTCTCAGAGCAAAATATGTTTTGGGAGTGAGTTCCAATATTACCGCTGACCTATGGTCACAAATACCATCTCCCTCAATTGATTGGGCATTGTTGGCCAATAATGTCTGGTAAAAATTTTTCTCTTCTTCCATGTTGCTTTCCTCAAGTTGATCCTCACTTTGTATTGTTTTTTCTTTTTCAGGAAAACCAACGAGAGAAGAGACCGAGGAGATAACGAGCATCTGGCAAACAAGCTTAATGAATAACCATATTAGCGTAGATAGGTAAGTACATATAATGTGTACATATTTTATAAAGCAGAGTCAATTCTAAAGGTATTTCTTGTATCAGCAAGAAGCATGTGATTAAGCAGTCTTTGAGCAAAAATTTCAGCTGCTAAAATGCAGCATTCAGAAGTGCACGTTAGCAGCTTTTGCTTTCAAAGGCCAACCAAAGCATATTCGTTGTGTATAGCACAAAGGAGCCCAGGGAAGCATAGTGGCAGGTAACTGCTTTTTTATAGCCTTGTGGCAGTAATTATGAGACGAGGGATACTTTCTTTCATTGTTAGACAGCTTCATATGGATTTGTATTGCTTTATATTTACTATTAAATAAACTTGAGCTCCTTGGCTCCTCCCGTAGTTCTTGCTCATTATGCCTTGTAAAAAAAAAAAAAGGTTTCCTCTTAGTATCCCCGAAGTGTATCACCGGAGGTTAGCAAATTTTACTAAGGGATGGGGGGGGGGCTGTGTAACGCCTTTAGTTCCTGTATAGAGGAGACACACGTGTTCCCTGATCAAAAACAAACAAAAATAGTTATCCCACCAGAAACAAAGTAAGGGTTTTTTTTTTTTTTTCAATGCACACCATGTGATCGCATGTTTAGACAGTACTACAGTTGTGCTTAATATGAGCTGTAACAGGGTGCCCATGGTTTAAGAGGTACTAGCCTGTGCCATGAAACTTGCAGACATTGAGTTGGTTTAAAGAACACCGGAAGCTGTAATAATGTTGTAATTTATAATTTACTAGCTTTCCTTATATTGGCACTGCCATGTGCTGTTGGCACCACTTTGAACGTGCGCACTGTGTTGGAGCTCATACTAGAAGTGACTCTGCACTATTTTATTTATTTTTCTTTCTGTGTTTCACATCTTTTTCACTTCAAGATTTTGCTAGTTTACATGGTCAGCTTGAATACAGTTTACACATTACTGCAGTGCCTGGCTTCCTGTAGCGAACCATAATGAGGGTATCCTTTGTTTGAATTCAGTGTGTACATTAACATGGGCTATTGCTCTTTGCCTTTTCAGGTACATCCTTGATGACAACCGAGCCCTGTTCACCTTCAAGGATGGTTCGCAGGCTTGGGAGGCAAAAGATTTTTTGGTTCAGCAGGATCAGCTGGAAACGATCACCATCGAAAATAAGCCGTATTATGGGAAGAATGCTGGCGACAAGGTATGCTCAAAGTGTTGCCGCATTCCTTTTATAAAAAAAAATGAAGGGCAGTTGTTAATTCCCGTGTCAAACGTTTCCAATGTTGAAGATTTAATTTATGAGACACTTTTGCTATTGGAATTAATTGAACACTGTAAGGTTTTATAACAAGTAATTTGAAATCAGCCAAGAAAACTGAATACCTGTTTTAATAATAACTAACAGACAATGATGCCAAGGAAAGTATACTTTCTTCGGCATCATTGTCTGTTAGCTCTCATTAATATTGTCTAAGGTAGAAAACTGAGCTTTGACTAACCACTTCTTTACTTAATACCTGTTCTGCAAAATTTGATGCTCAGATAGACAAATTGGTTCTTGTTCCTACATCCTGTCTCTGCTTAGAGCACTTTTGCAAATGCTGTATTATTTTTCTAAGTAGTGGCCAGAACACTGCATTGTTTATGGGACTGAGCACGCTGTTGCAAGTGCTGAAATCGTGCTGTATAAAACTACGCATGCAAATGGCAGCCGTTCCGAAAACTAGATGAAATACTTGAAAATAAGGAAAAACAGCATTATTCTGGGTAATCTAATATGAAGAAGCACATTCGATGATCATTGTGCCAACAACGTCCTATTAATTTTGCACGTATTTTCGTTCATTATTCAAATTCGCTTCATAGTTGGAAATTTGATTTTTGCACAGTTTTCGGAAGTATTTACCATACAGGCAGCTCAGTGGCTGCTTCATAGCGCTGCTGAGCTTAGTGTGGTGGTTTCAGTTCTGGTTGCAATGGCCACTTTTAGATCAGGCGAAAATGTTACACTGCTCGTGTATTTGTACTTAAGCTTAGGCATAGACTTAAAGCTTTTTCCATGAAACACATGCTAAGTGCAACAGCCCGCCGATGCTGTTGCTCTTGTCTTGATAGATGGCGGGCCACTCGAGTTTCTGAGGCAGGCACATAAACACTCTTAAGCATCCTGAAACAGCAGCAGAATCTTCGTGAATGAATTGCTCAATCTCTCTAGTTTCTACTATCTGCTGTCTGTCACCTCGTGTTGTGTCAGTTTTGGTGGGACGATTGATGGGTAGCTGTAAATGTGCTCTTTTGCTCGTGCTCACACTCATTCGCGTGATGCACGATTGGCAGCGAGCAGTCCCCACTCCATATACATGGAGCGTGGACTGCTCCATGATAGCGTGGACTGCTCCATGATATATGTATATATACATATACATATATCTGTAGCATCAATTGTGTCAGTCTTGCCATGCATAACAGAAGACAACTTCGTCTTCTTACGTGGATGCCAAAATGCCAATGTGTATCGTATCCACTGCAGGAGGTTCTGAATTTGCTTTTAATGTGTATACTTGGCAAATATATACCAACCACACATTCTGTATGGTTCAAATCAAAGGAATCCAACTGACTGGCCAAGTGAAAAAAAGAGGACATTATAGTTGTATTTACCTGTAGTGTAGTGACTATGACTTATTTAAACATACAAGGGCCAAAATTTGCTATAATTGTTGGTAAGATTCCAACCTACAATCATCAAATTACGCGTTCAACACCGTACCAATTGGGCTATGACTGAATTCGGTTTCTTGCTCACTTGGTTGGGTATTTCTGTACGTGTAATTTTATTCATTTGTTTATTACTTGAAAATACTGCCAATCTCATGTGAGATCAAGGCAGAGAAAGGGGAATTACAGCACCCAGAAAAATAAAAAAATGAAATCAATTAGAATTTTTCACCAACTAATGCACAATTGCAACTTAAGTTGTGGCATATAGAAAGAGCAAAAGATTACAGTAGGTTGTACAACAATGCGCATGAAGTACATAAGTGCAAATATAAGTAAAATGCAAGTTATACAATATACACATTATTCCTATAGAAATAGAACAAGCTTGGGGTAAAACAGTTGTGGTTATACATAAATGAGGTAATAACATGACTAAACCATGCTGTATCATTAGTAAAACTTGCTCTGTTGTAGAAAACTTGTCGAGCGAGTAATTCCTGGGAGGGTGAGCCAGTGACACTCATAGCCAAAGCTGCAACTGTGGAACAGTCCTTGTTGCCAGAGGGCGCCATGTAGTGTATGTGATGTGATAACGAGGTGGCAGCTGACCGATAAACCCTTGCATGCTTACCTAAGGCATTGTGTCTGCACGGACAAACAGTGCCAGTGCAATGTCTCAAGCAGTTTTGGTAGGCTTTTCAGCTTAGATTGGGTATCTCTGAAAATCTGGATTTTCGATTGTTTAAGCTCTGCCATAAAAGGTGTACATTGTTTCTTTGACACATGCCACAACATCCAGTGTTCATTAATGTAATGTTTCAATTAACTATGTTTTTTCAGTGGTCCTAAAGCTCAAAGTCACTGTTTCTGCCTTAATTACGTTTTTGCTTTTGCAGGAAATTCAAGACATGTTAGACCTTATCAATGAAAAGTTTGGGAAAAAGTGATGCTACTCTAATCCATTCGAGAGAACCGTGAAGAAATTGTTTCTCTGTTTTCATTACAAGAACAAGCAATTTCAAATATTTAAAGGCCTCTGTCACAAAGACAGAAGGAATATGGCAAATGGGGTTTATCTTTGCCAGTTATTGCAGAACAAGTATAAACACCTTACTTTCCATGTATAGTGCTGCTAATTTACGACTGTCCTGATTAAAAGTAAAGACCTCTTTGTCTCCTCTTCTAGAATGTGACACTATGTGCCCTACTCCATTACGTTTTTTGAGTGACAATCACTTAAAATGGCCACGTTGTTCTATGCTGTTGTAGTTTGACTTTATGCAGGCAGAGCCAAATATAGCGCAGTCGTTTTAGCGCATGCTCGCACCAAAAGAAAGCCTTCTTTCTCTTCTTCGAGCACCTTGATAATTACTTTAACGCATGCAAAACCACTTCGAGCATAGCCATTTGAGCACGAAGTCTCACCAAGGAGGTCTTCGTGCCTTTGTTCCTTAAGTGCTTTGATGATGATAAAAATAAATAGAATTAAAGATATAATAATACAGAAAAAGCTGTAAGAGGAAACTGAGGAGAAATAAATAAGGCTGCTCAACTCAGCACACTATTCAGACGAAAAAATTGAGAAACTTTCTCAATCAGTGCTTACTTTCTAGCCTTTGTCAGTGTGCTTTACATGAATGCAGTTTTTCTCTCAGGAACATTATTCTCTCGGGAACTAAGTAGGGATTTTGCTGCTGAGAAGAGCAAAAAGTGACGTATAATGTGTGAACTATGGTACCGTACGGATGACATTGCGGCTTGTGTGAAGGCTGACATTTTGTCCTAGCTTAGTACCATTCTCTGCAATGCAAGTTTGCCAGAGGCTACAATAGGAAAATGAAGTAAATAAATATCATGACATTGCAAAAGCCAGGTTTTACAGGTCAGTGCAGCCTTTTCTTTTATGTAAGTATAAATTAAAACAATCAAAATCAGTTAGAAGCCATTGATCAATTTCTTAAATTCTCAGCATGTGCGCAAAATGCACATACAAGATCTGCTAAAACAATAAATGCTGGCAAGAAGTACTGAATACCATGTAGTAAAGGAAAGTGTTAATTTAAGGGCTCATTTTCTCTGTCAGATGCAATATTAATGAGAACTGACACAAATAACGCTGGGGAAAGTATAGGGGATGATGTTAGAAGTAATTGTGACGTAAATTTACATGACAATTATTTCTAACATCATCTTCTATACTTTCCCTGGCATTATTTTTCCGCTAGTTCTCATTTATGAATACCATGCAAGTTATTTCTTATATGGACTTGAAAACGTAAAAAACAAGAAAGTGAGAACGTATGCCACGAGTGCAGTGGCAGGATGCCGTTTCGTAGGTTTGAAAAGCAAAGCTATGCTGAAGTAAAAAATACTGGTCTCAGGTTGTTAGTGTGCCATGATGTTTCAAGTCGCGTAAAAGTGGTACTGGCACTGGCAAGAGGTGCCGTCTCAGTCTGCAACTAAAATGCGCTAACCATTAGAGGTGCTGTGAAGACTCCACATGCCAAAAGAGAACATATGGTATCTCTGTGTAAGTGTTTCCTGTAGCCTAATAAGTTCATCAAGGCCAATTCAGTGACAATTTGCTCGGAAAAGAGCAGTTCCACTTCTATATTCTAGCATATCAGGGCACTTTCAGGTTGCAAGTTGGACATATTGAAAACTGTTTCCTCCCTTGACTAGGCTTTCATTAGGGTGTTACTTTTGGGACATAGTGTCAGCAATGATTTCCCATGATGAAGTAGCAAAAAAATTAAGAGACAGTTATAACACTCTCTGATGTGAAATATGCGAAATATGGCTGCAGTTGCGTGAAGTGGAACAAGGAAGTCTAAAACTTTTTTTTTTTTGATTGATTCTGCAACTTAGCTACATAATGTAGTCCTTAAAATATAAAATATTTTGTGTGCCCTTTGAAGGGCGAGATTGTTCCTGAACTGAGAGTTACAAAGTAAATCGACATACCATATTAATTTTGGATCAGAAGAAACAGCAAAAAGGTTGTTTTAAATACGTTTGAATGATAGTTGTATACATGGTTGACAGATATTACAGCTTCTCATTGACCAACTTGCAAATGTTCAACGTACCGTAACCATTGTTCAAATTCTTTGCACTCGCGTAATATTTTCATCTATTGGGTAGAGCTTCTTTGTTGAAAGCGTATACTTGTGGGTTCTGGCGTTCGCGACGCTGAGCCTCTGCCCGGACAACTCATTCAGCTGTGGCATCCGATGATGCACTCTAATCAGCTGTGTTGTACATTTTCAGGAAGAAAGCATGAGCCCTGGAATGCATGACTTGCACAGTGTGCTTTACTTGGCAGCTGTGGCACAGTCAATGTTGCGCTTGTGCTTTCATTTTCATTTTTCTTTCCCTGCTCTCATTGATTTTGTCTTCATCCTGTGCTGTGCCATGTTTTCTCAGTTACTTATCACCTGCTCTACTGTTCTCACTATGTTTTACTCTATCTTCCTTGTCTGGCTTTCTTTGTGATAATTGTGATTCATCTTGTGCTGCACTTTGCGTTTGTGCTCTCACATTCTTCGTTTCCAATGGTTTTGCCGACGAGGATGAAAGGGCACTTAAGGGCGGGTACGAATTGGCATCAACGAGCTGCATTCTAAAAGTTTTCCAGGCACACATCTGTCTCTTAATACTGAAAACGGCAACCTCATTTTGTGGCAGCCAACAATGATCCTCTCTACTTCCAGACTGTCCCCCAAAACTGCATTCTGTGCACTTTCACAGCTTGTGAGGCAGTGTTCGCACTGCCTGGAAGAATGTGGTTGAATTTAAGCTCTTTTAACTGCCTTTCATTGTATGATTTTACATTTACACAACTGTCCAGGTTTTTCTTATACCGGTGTCACACAGGCACTTTTAATCGCGATCAGGGTGACCTAGATCGGTTTTCTTGATCGCGATGAACTTTATGGCCACTGCTACATGGCCCAAGCTAATCTCGTTCGAGCTTGGGTTGTATGAAATGCACCAGGTGGCACTTGCGTGCCGTAAAACCTGTCATTGCCAAAACTCGGGGTACAATACTTTAATAGAGCCATTTACTAGAAATATGTTATTCGTGCAAGAACTGCTCGAACATCAAACACTTTGTAGGCCACTACAAAAATAATTTCATAAATCTATCATTCGGTAGAGCTTTTTTTGCACTTACCTGTATTGCTGTGCGAGAATCTTAATCTATTATATAAACTTAATCTTAAACATTTATTTTTGACGGCACCTGCTCGTAGCCGTCCAGTTGCAGCGAAACTGCAATATCGTTGCCCAAGCCAGAGTTTACTTCTGTTGCCTCATGTCTCCCAGTTGCTCCTGTCAGCAGTGCATTACTGTAAAGGGCTCTTCATTCGACCGCAAAGTGCGCTTACACTGCGACAAAATCGAAAAGCTGATGACAGTCACAATCAATTTGCTTCGAGGTGCTCCAACTGCTCTGACGGTGCGAGAGTTGAACCTGTCGTCTGCTTATCGTCTGCTTCTCCCATAATTACATGCAGACAATACGAATCTTAAAATATGCAATATTACAGTTACTTTTCCAATTGCAACACTTCATGATTTTTTATAAGTAAATATATTGCTTTTTAAATCTGTATTTACAGAACCATGCTTGATTTTCTTGTTTCTTTTACTTTCAATAAGCTCTACCAAGAGTGCAGATCTCTAAATAGGATCACGATGCGCGGATCGCGATAGTCTTGATCCCAATTGGGCGTGATCATGATTAAAAGTGACCACGTAGCAGCACCTAATCCAGATCGTGGTTAATTTTTATTGGCACTGATCGCAATTCAAAATTCCCTTGCGACACCGGTAATAGGGTAATTTCGGCTCGTATTTATTTGTTTGTGTATGACAGGCGTGCTGCATTCTCCAATTTGCGAATAAGTTTTTATTATCCTTAAAAAAGTAAGTAAAAAATGTGTTTGCCCATAACATTTATTGGGGCTATTCTGAAGCTTTGTTTTTATAACTTGAAGTACAGCGATGTGTCTCCCCTCGATTTTCGTGGCTCCCACATTTTCAGGGGGACTGGCTGTATTGAAATATGGAGAAGGATGAAATGGTGGTGGGGTCATCAGTTAAGCCGTACAGAGTAGTGAGCATTGAAGCGTACCTTGTGTGAAACATTAGGATGGGGCATTGGCCATACGAGATAAGGGGAAACAGAGACAGCTGATCGATCCAAATTCAAGGAGGAGAATTTACATGAGGTGAGGCACACATTATACAGAGATGATTCGTAGAGTTATTACATTGATCATGGCTGGATCCTGGCCGTGGTGGCTGCATTTTCGATGAATGCAGAAGTGCTTGAGGCCCGTGTGCTTAGATTTAGGTGCACAACAAAGAACACTGGGTGGTCGAAATTTCAGGATCTCTCCACTACGCTGCATCTGAATATCATGTCATGGTTTCGGGACGTTAAACCACAACTATTAATAATAATAATAATAATAATATTATTATTATTATTTTATTACATTGTTCGTGGAGGCAGGGAAACATAATTGATGATTGGAGGTTTAGGTAGGTGATTGGAGGTGTAAGAAACTGGCAATTGCAGGGTTGAGTCAGCTTGCACAAGACAAGGTATTATTGAAGTGCACTGGAACGGGCTATCGTTATTTTAGGTGCGTGAAATAAGCCAATGTTGATAGTACCCACTCGTGGATTCACAGAGCAGCACCAATGCCGATGAGACACGATCATTAATGGAAGGTATCTCCCGGCTTCATAAACTCCAACTAGGTCATTACGTACAGTGATGACAGCATTGCATTAAAAATAAAAAGTAAACAGAGAAATTTGCAAAAGTGTTGTCCGTCAACGCTAGTGCATGTCTTTCCTTTGTGTGTTTCCCCTGCACTGTTATCATGGGTGCATGTTCCAGCCCGCCTGATTTATCGTCCTTGTCAGCCACAGCAGAGAAGTGGTTATGGAGCTCGGATGCTGACCCGAAAGTAACAAGTTCTAACCACATTGTGGCAGTCACATTTGATGTTTGTGGAATGCTACAAGATGTGTACTATGTGATATCGGTGCACATTAAAGAATGCCACGTGGTTGCAATTTACAGAGCCCTCCACCACGGCATCTCTCATAAGTATGCCATGGCTTTGCGACATAAAACCTTGCATGTTATTTACCATTCTCATGCCCTTCATACATAAGTGTAATTGTGCTCTGCATGTGACACTGTTTCGTCTTACTATGCAGGCACAAAGCAAGAAAGCAGTAGATGAGCTGTGACATTCGTCATCGTCGCCACCATTTCCAAGGTCACTCACTGCGTCTGCACTTACTTCATAATGCGAATTCGTAACTGTAATTTCTCTTGACGTCCAGAAGTGGTGTCTGTTTTTTTGTTACTGAGTCCCTGACAGATGCTTATGTGCTTATTTATTCCTAAATGTGAATGTGGAGATAAAGTGAACAATTGGTAAATGTGTGTTTATTTCACAATGTACAGATTTTCTGCTCTCTAATGTTATGGTAATGTCCGTGCCAAAATTAGGTAAAATTAGGCTTGAATATGTTTGGTCGCACATTTGTGAAAGCTTCGAGTGCTTTGGTGGTCCATTATTTTTCTCGACTTACGGAGGAAATGTCACTAAAGAGATGTGCTCAAATAAACAGGTTTGTTTTTGCACGTGCTTTGTGCTTCATGCTTTTTCGTGATATGGAATAGCGTCGCACTGCTGGAACCGCTCTAAGGGACGATGCACCAAAAACACGCCAAGTGTTGTGAATGCTGGCACCGGAACGATACGAGAACGGCGGCAACATCAACGTAAACGAAATGCAGGCAGCCTAGTCTCGCATCTCTGTCGATACGAAGTAAAAAAACAATGCGCTTAAATTTTGTTTGCATATTTGAATATTTTTGTCAACCGTTATACCGCTATTCAGGCAACAGATTAAACAACTTACACACGTTGCCTCGAATAATTCTCGCAGTGTCACGTGTTAGTTCGGCGTACGTAGGACCATTCCTTGTTGTATAAGTCACCTTCACCATGGTGGGCGCACGCCTTTGAAATGAAGGTCAAGTGGCGTTCAGTCTGAGGTTTCATCTCTTTCTGGGGCGCGTAGCATTGCATATCTTAGCAGGTGAGATCGTGAGCACCTAGTGCATGCATTCCTCTTGCCTGTTCAAAATTGGCCACCGTGGTGGTCTAGTGGCTAAGGTACTGGGCTGCTGACCTGCAGGTCGCAGGATTGAATCCCGGCTGCGGCGGCTGCATTTTCGATAAAAGCGAAAATGCTGTAGGCCCGTGTGCTCGGATTTGGGTGCACGTTAAGGAAACCCAGGTGGTCGAAATGGCCGGAGGCTTCCGCTATGGCGTCTTTTATAATCATATGGTGGTTTTGGGATGCTAAACCCCACATATCAATCAATAATTAACGTACAAATAAAAGATATGTACTAAGTAGGAAAATATGCTATACTTTGCAAGTCTTGCATTCAAGGTAGGATGCACTCGTGTAAAAAGCCTTGCACAATAAGCATTTCAAGTTCTCCCATTACGTCTCTACACATCAAACATTAGAAAGTGCATTCACGCGCGCACAACTGTTCACATGCATGGGCAGCTCTGAAACAGAGTGAGGACTTAAGTGTTGCTACGCCTGGGGAAGTTCATCGAACAGGCTGTCAGACATAGGAAATCATTGTGCAATGCACCCCGAAAGCTATGGTCGTCTCCAAAGGTGAGTGATCTCCTTCTTCTGCCAAGGCCTGTGCACTGTGTTCAGGGAGATTGAAGCGATGTTGCAATGGAAACACGGTTTGTTTGTAAATCCAGATAGGCACACGGCTAATGAGATGGCTTACTCTAATGGCAGTGAGGGGGTCTGAAACGAGTCTGCCGTTCCGGTAGTGTCGTAGAGTCATTCGGAAGCTGGAGTGCTAAAGACGAAGATTAGACTAAAGGAATTAGAGCTGCAAATAATATGTGAACAACGTGGCTCCGGGCCGAGCCAGTGCATTGACAAGGGGCAGGAGAATCGTAGTGAACTGCGACCCATTTCAAAGTTAACAGTGTGCTGCCGAAGTTTGCGACGGAGGCGGAGGTCCCATTTTATGGTTTGAGGCCGCAGAGAGCGCGCTGGATCGCTACGAGGTCCCAAAAGATTGGTGGGGCCAAATTGTTTATCCGTTAGTGGTGGAAAAAATTCCGTTCGTGTCGACGCGCTTGGCACCATCTCGGCATGGGGACTACGAGATACTTGAGCATGCTGTACTCGATGAATCGAAGCTGTCCGCCAGAGAATACCTCCGCCGCTTCCACGGGGCGAGGAAATGAGCCGCAGAGGGGTGGCGTGTGTTCGCGACAAGGCTGCAGAGCTACTTGCATTTTTACGTGGAGGCGAGAGGCGTGAGTACTTTTGAGGAGCTGTTAGAACTCTTTACCGCGGATTAGATGAAGGGCGGCTTGTCGGAGGGCGCTTTGTGGTACGTTATATTCCAAGAGGGAGGGTGCTGTCATAAAGCGTATGACATCGCTCCGTTACTGGTAACATACGAGGAAGCGGAAGGCCAAAACAACGGCATCAAAAGGGCAGAATGCAAAATCACAGGGGCCGGCTGCGGACCCGCAGAGTCAGGTTAGACCATCAGCGCGGAAACCCGCAAAATCGCGAAGTATTTTTTTTTTTTTTTTGGGGGGGGGGGGGGTATAGTCACTTGCCCAAGGGCGGTTGACCGCAATGCTGCTAGGTCTGACCCTGAGGAAAGCTGTGGTCTGTCCGCGCGTGTGTCGGTGTTTTCGACAATGGCTGGAGGTCGCGAACGCCCTTTAGTCTCGGTTGCCGGGATATTGAGATTCGTGCCATCCTTGACACGGGGTCTGATATCACAGTTGTTCGGCAGAACGTAGTCCCGCCGGAGCTTGTTCAGCCTGGCGGGTCAGCTAGCTGGTCTCCGCGTTCGGAGAAGAAGTAAAGGCAAAGCTGACAATGCTGCCGCTGACGCTCGCGTGTGACACGGGGGACTTCGTGGGTGTAAGACAGACAGTGCCGGTATTGTGCACGTTGACAGACAAGCTAATGACACGTGCTGAATGTTGTCGGAGCGAGCGTGGAAGCTGATGAAAAAGGCGGTCAACTTGAAGCAACCGAACGTGCATAATACGCAAATTAATAGGTGGGCGGAGTCGGAGAGTTTTTTAGGTGGCGAAGGCAGTGCTAGAGGTTGACGATCAGTGCTCCGGGAAATTGTTTCTTCTGTCGAAAAGACTGAATAGATTCTGCGGTAACTCTGCGGCAAAGTTAACTCTGCGGCAAAGTTAACTCTAAGGCCGCTCGTGCTTCAGTGCTAAAGCGCAGCGCCCGCACAAATGCGGATGCGCTGTCGCGCGTGCCAAAGGGGTGTTGTGATCGCAGTAACAGTGCCGGGCAATCGGCAGGAAAGGGGCAGCGCTCCCTTAGTGCTCCAGCCAAGTGTCAGTGACGTGTGAGAACTTCGAGGCACTTGAACAGCATTTTGTGTGAAATGTGTGTTGATGAAGTGTGTTCTTTTGCCACTGCAAGTATGCACGAGTTTTGCTTGTTTTCTTCTTTGATTTGCTTGTTTTTTTAGTTTATTTGCTTGTTTTATTCATTTTACTTAGCTATTGAGTGACCTCATGTCAGTTTGCTTTGTTTCACGGTGTAAACTACTCTTACACCGTGGTTTGTTTGCCGGGCAGTGGCGTACAATGAGATCCGCAGGGTACAGTCGAGGAAACACTATGCGTAGTGTGACAACCCCTCTGTTGTTCAAGAAAACGCGAAGTGCGGCCCCGAGCTGGGGGGGGGGGGGGGGCGACATCCTTGTATTCGCGTAGCGGCTTTTTTAAGTGCCAACCACTGGCACGGGTTCGCTCGCGTCTACGCGTCAAAAGCGTCAAATGCGCCTCTCGGCGTCGGCTTCGGAGGGGAAAAAGTGCCAACCACTGGCACGCGTATGCTTGCGCCTACGCGTCAAAAGCGTCTAGTCGCGCCTGTGGAGGAAAAGGGCGTGCAACTACTGGCACGCGTCGACCACGTTGACGCCCACGCGTCCAAGGCCGATGCGCAATGTTGCTTGATCTTTTGGCTTGGAACTGTCCAAGTTCAGCACAGAACGGCACGTTCTCAACTGGAGCGGGAATGTATGTTTCAGAGGATATGAGAACACGTTAACAAGTTGATAGTGCTTCAACCACCACAGTTTAGACTATTTTAGAGGTAATTGACATTTCAGTGCCCAAAGTAACTACAGCGGTAGCACCAGAAATCAACATCGGTGCGTGTGCCGCTCCCGCGAATGAACATTCGCGTCTAGCATACTGTACGGCTATCATAGGCGTGTGCAGGGCTCTCCTTAAGGGGGGGGGGGGGCAAAAGTTTGTCCCAGTGCCCCTCCCCAGGGCTGACTTAGCACCCCCTCCCTATTATGTTAATATATGGAATTGACATTGAGCTCCCCCCCCCTCCTCTCTGCGGTGAATGAGGCGTGGCTGCCTTCCTGATCAGGTTTACAAACCACCGGGTTTCTATACCTGCACTACCAAAGTTACTAACAATATCTTGTATATGCTGGTACCTTCAGTATATTTACACAACATATTTTATATCAGTCAACTTAATAATCACGCCTGCAACTTCATGATCTGAGAGATTTAAGTCAGTCATAAGACTACAATTGAGGCCAGAGTAGCAGGCTTTCGGTTGATGTGTGTGTTCGAAATATCCTCTAATGCAACAAAGCACACCCGGTTCTTATTGACACAAGAGATATTGGTCATAAGATAGGAACCAAATACTGCGTAGAATGCCTTCGGGCATTTTCCATAGCTGAAATGTGCTCTAATGCAACTAACTGTGCCTGACACTTCATGATGTGTCAGATATTGGTCAGAATATTTCAACTGAACCTTGCACTGGAAGACTTCTGGACGTTGTCTTTAGTCAAAGTATTCTCTAAAACGACAGACGACACCCAACTGTTCATGAAGTGACAGATATCGGTCATAATATTAGAACTGAAACCTCAATACAAGACTTCTGGACGTTGTCTTTAGTCAAAGTATTCTCTAGAACGACAGATGACACCCAACTGTTCATGAAGTGACAGATATCGGTCATAATATTATAACTGAAACCTCAATACAAGACTTCTGAACGTTGTCTTTAGTCAAAGTATTCTCTAGAACGACAGACGACACCCAACTGTTCATGAAATGACAGATATCGGTCATAATATTATAACTGAAACCTTAATACAAGGCTTCTGGACGTTGTCTTTAGTCAAAGTATTCTCTTGAACGACAGACGACACACAACTGTTCATGAAGTGACAGATATCGGTCATAATACTATAACTGAAACCTCAATACAAGACTTCTGGACGTTGTCTTTAGTCAAAGTATTCTCTAGAACGACAGACGACAATCAACTGTTCATGAAGTCACAAATATCGGTCATAACATTAGAACTGAAACCTTAATGCAAGACTTCTGGACGTTGTCTTTAGTCAAAGTATTCTCTAAAACGACAGACGACACCCAACTGTTCATGAAGTGACAGATATCGGTCATAATATTAGAACTGAAACCTCAATACAAGACTTCTGAACGGTGTCTTTAGTCAAAGTATTCTCTAGAACGACAGACGACACCCAACT